ACAGCTGACTGTCTTGACCAGTATTTGGAGGCCAGCAACTCAAAGACGTGTCTCAAAGCAGCTTAGCAAAGCATTTAGTAGACTTCCATGAGCAACCCAAGTGCTACTTTGAAACAGTTTTCAACTGACTGTAAGCCTCCTCCGTTACCATCTATCGGGCAATGGACACATCGCCCACAGAGATTTGCTCTGAGCCAACGCTGGTGCCGCCTGCTCCGCCGCCGAGTCCAACTTCTCCAGCGTTCTTAGAGGAGCAGTACCCTCCACCACTTCCAGTTTCAAAACCTCGAGAGGTAGCAACTGGTGAATCGGCCACGCAGACAAGTCCGACGGCCAAGGATACAGAGTCCAACGAATGCCATGTGGGAGCTGATTTGGGGCCGCCCAAGATGGCATCAGATGTCAGTGCACCACCTCCAGACGCAGCAATGGATCCACCTGTCTTGCAGAACGCAGCTCTTCAGGCAGACTTGGACACAGAACTGGATGCGCCTGAGATTCCGCCAGTGACAAAGAAGCTCAAGACAAAGACTGGGATGACTTTCCAGGAGCACCGGGCGATGAAAAGGTTTGTTCCAGACCCAAACAACCCCGCAGAGCTGCGACTGCGACGGGAAATGGATAAAAAAAATGAACGAGAGAAAGAGAGGAAGAAGCGTCGCCATGTGGAGGCAATGGCTCTGGCAAAGGCTGCGACGGCCGCTGCGAAGGCCAAGACGGCCAAGTGACTCCGAAATACTGTGAAGAAAAAAGTACGCGATAGATGGAAAGATATGGACAGGTTTTCATTGCGCCGCAATTTGTGTGGGTTGGGGGCGGTGGAGGTTCAAAACATGGGGCGGTTTATTCATCGGGTTACTGCGTTCTGTGCTCTTGTGGTCGTGGCTTCTGTCCTGAACGTGCGCGGCGCCAAGGACCCTCGACAGCGACCTCGTGAGCTGCTGCAAAGCTGCCTCGGAAGACTTCGATTGGCAGCGAATCCCATTCGTTTTGGAGGCGAACTCATCTTCTTTGAAGTGGTCTTCCCAAAAAGTGCGTGTAGCTTCAAGCAATTCGTATTTAGCAAGTAGTCTATGATATGTTAATGTTTGCGGCAAACAGTAACAGCGGTGATCAGGGTTCAACTCAACAACTTTGATTTCACAGGCAATGGGTGAGAGCAAGGAGAAGTTCGTCATTGCAGCGCAGGCAAGGAGCAAGAACGCCTACGCTGCGAGCGAACAAGCGGCCTTCAACATGTTCAAGACCTCGTTGGTGGCGGACCAAGCGTTGTTTGAAGCCATGAAGCTGAGGCCTTGGTGGGAATGAGTGTACATAGTTCAGATGCAGTTGCAACTTGATGCTGTCTTGCCAACTTGCAGACAGCTTTGCTGTTTTGCCAGCTTGCTGGCAGACAGCTTTTGCCTTGAGACTGCGTTGCCAGCTTGCTGGCAGCCAGTCTGATGCTTTGCTGGCAGCCAGTCTGATGCTTTGAAATGTTGCACCACTGGGACCACAGCGCCACAACAATGTCCTTGTGCCCTTCCTGCCAGGAGCTCCAAAGAGCAAGCGATGAAACGCAAGGAAATTCTGACCAAGCTTGAGGATATGCACCAAGACTGAATGTTACACACGTGCTCTGAAAAGGTTTCTACTGATATCTACTAGGAGTTTCACACTCTTTTAAGATCCTGAGTGCAATGTGATCCTGAGTGCAATGTTGCATGGCCTCCACATGTGCTAGCTACAATGAGGCACAAATCATCGTGGGAGATCATCAACGCCCATGTCAACCGCAACCTCCGTGTCTGGCATGTCAAGCCAGAAAATAGCATTTTACCAACGCTCATGCCCTGGCTTTCTGAATGCATGGAGGAAATGACCTTTGTTCGGACACCGCAGGAGGAAGGGACCGTGCTGTGGGTGAACATGGTTACTGCAGGAGTAGTCCCCCTCATGAAGAAGAATTTCTTGGTGTCGCTGGTGACGGGATTGCTCACTTCTTGCCCTACGAACGCTTGCTGCGTGCTGATACATACCAATCGTGCATCTGAATCGAAGTCCGGGTCAGAAACTCAGTTCATAATCGGTTTTACTAATTAGTGGAGTTTGTTGTTTTTATATACTAGATTATGCCAAGAATTCACAGGAAGGCAAAAAAA